AAAACTGTTCCCAGTAGTACAGCATATTTTTACCTGCTCTGTCAGCCCTAGTTTTAATTTATTTGCTTAATGACACTTCCATAAATTCCTGGACACATAAGATGGAGATATCAACATTCTTCAATGAATATTAAACACAACTATAAAATATATTTCCATGAATATTTCATTAACAAAATAAAATTTCTTTTAAGTTTTGCTTACAATTAACAAATCCAAAAAAAGTAATGCAGTTTAAAACTATAACATAAAATAGTTGTAAATGAGTAAAGCCATTTTTCCTTGGTTTATATTTACAAAGGTTTACATTTCCAAGGAACACATTAGTGGTCTAATTAGCTGAAACAATACAGTAGGACTACATACCATTCTAAAGATACACTGAACATACTACTTCAGACATTTACTTAATATGATTAATAATAATTATGAAAGTAATATTTCCAGCTGACTCTTTCTTAGCAACTCTGTTGCCTGTCCTTTTACAAATAAAGGGAATATTTTTTACTCCAGATTGTATGAGTAAAGATGTGAAACTGTTAAGAAACTTCTTATAGTAACTTAAGAGAAATAGAAATTTAAAGCACATTTTTAAATCTTCACTATTGCAAGGTACATTACCTACCTGCCTACCATGACTCTTTGAAGATCTGCAGTGTGAAGTAATAACCAAATCAGAAGAATCCTTTGCTATAGAATGCATGCAAAATGTAGCTACATTAAGGAAAGTCCCAGAACCTGGAGATTTACAGAGATATTCCTTAATAACCCAGTGTGCCTGCCTACTTATCCTGTTGCCACTGCATACCAAGAGGATAGGTGATTCATAATCACCGTACTTGGGTGATTATGAGTTCTCTTAACCATCTAGACTGACATTTTAGGAAAAGACACTTAATTTCTCTGCAAGCTTATCCACTGCTGCAGAGCAGCTCTTCAAACACTTCCCATCACTGCAAGCATGCAGGCCACAAGGAGGGTGGGAAGGGCACAGAAGCAACATGCTGCTGGGTAAGCTGTGCAATGCTGCACAGCCAGCCAGGCAGAGGTCTGCTCTGCTGGAGTCAGTATGGACAGCACTGCTTTTCAGAAGCTAAGTGCTAAGCTGGAGTACATCATCGCTACAAAGCAGAACCAGGGTACTGTAACACCACACACTGAGTGACCCTGAGGACTGGAATAATGGAGAGAATTCAAAGGACAGAGTCATGAGTTTAAGCATTAAAACCAAAATAATCTATTGTAAACTGGGAAATAACAGCTTGGAAGCATCTTAAGGAAGGAATAAGGAAGTCTCAGGTATGCTAAAAGTCATCAGTGTTAAAACGTATGAATAATACAGAAGCATTACCTAGAGGTATTACACATAAGGATATTACTGCTGTCTATAAAAACATGAGGAGAATAAGCAAAGGAAGGAAAACAACTACCTAAGCTGCAATGCAGTAAGGCATCTTAAAGACATTGGCATGAAACAGTCAGAAGTAAATCTAAGCCAGAAATAAGAAGGTTCACAAGCACTGCAGTATTTTGGCCCAGGAACAGCTTTCTATGCAGGGAAACACAGAGAACTTTCTAGAGTGTATAAAACAGGTCTAATTCTTTAGGAAAGGAGTAGTGCAAGTAGATACCTATGGTGGTCACAGTCTGGACTTGGTGGTCAACTTGACACTTGTACTCTTTCCATGGAACAAAAGTAAATGGTGGGAAAGTGGTGAGATTGGGGAACAGGGCTTTCTCTCTAGCAGAGCACCAAGAGGAGACAAGATAATGGCTCTGGAATATGTGTGTTCAATGCACAGCTTCCCCTCTTGGCTAATTAAAACAAAAATAGCCTGACTTGCTATTCGCAAAATTTTTCACTGCTGCCCACTTTCAGGTTAAAACTGGATTCCTTTCTTCTTAAGCTTAAGTAACACAAGTGAAGAAGATTTTCAAAGTTCATTCTGCCCACAAAAGCTCATGTTTCTTTGATGTCCCTCTGTCCCCACGTTCTTCATTTTCTGCTGAGGAATGAAGAAAGCTGCTGAATGCATGTCCAGAGTCTCAGAAGTGAACAGGGAGAAAGGCAAAAACATGCCAAGGTGTACCAGCTATCACAAGCTGCTTCAGGTCTCCAAGTGATGTCTGAACAGTCAGATTTAAAAACCTCACTCTCAGTCAGTCCCACGGACCTCAGCAGTGTTCCCAGTCTCCACAACAACAAAAATAAATCTGCATAGTATAGCTGGATAGCAGAGTAAGGAACATTATGTTGAAGAACTAACTGAATTTTATTGTTTAAAAATAGTATTTACATTGCCTGCAGCATTTCTCTGTAAGTATAAGAATCAGATTATTTCTTTAAGTTTCTGAAGAAATTATTGTACCATCTGTCAAGAATCTGGATAAGCCTTTTCTGTAACAGACTGCGTTAATCTCAACATCAAAAGCACAGGGTCCCCTCAGATCTCTTTCAGTCTAAGAAATAAAACCTGCTTGAAGACTAACGAATTGGTCAGCTATTTGTGATTTCAGACAACTCTTAAATATTCCTTAAATGCACAGGGATGTTAAATAGAATGAAAAATGTTCAGAAAATCATTGCAGATTACATAAAACAAACATGGAGAGAAGCTTATACTTTCCAGGAAAGTCTACAACACTTAAATGCTTTTGTCATTGCTAAAACTTGTCCACGATGAAGTCCAAAACCCCAAACTGTCACCATGATTTTCATTTATCTAACTACACTGCCCTGTTTTTCCCAACTTCCAGTAAATGTAACTACCACTGCTAAAATTGGATGAAGATGCCACAATCATTAAATCTACTTACTAAAGCTAAACCTTGAGCTTTGTGTTTGACACCTTCCCAATGACATACAATTGTGCTTCATAAAGCTTTAGATAATTTTCAGTGAAAGCAGAGTGTAAAGTGTTTTATTCTCTGTGCCTCTCCCTAACTCTTTAAAAGCCCGATCTTTCAGTCCTCCAAGCCCTGCTCTTTTCTGCTCATGATGCAAATTTTTTAAGGACCGCAGGATATGAGCCAAACACAGTGAACCTTCCTCCCTAACTGTTGGGACTGGGGTACTATCCCTAGCTGATCCCCACCAGCTTTTCCCATTCCTGGAAGGATATTTTTAGGTCTGCCCTGAAGTAACTTAAAGGCTGCTGCTGCTGTGCCTCCCTGGCATTCATAAACAGACTTTTATCTCCTGCTTTTTCCCTCCTTCCTCAATTGTTTTTAGTTATTAGTTATAACTAGGGAGCTTGTTAGTCTGGTATTTGCAGTCTGACTTCTTCTGCTAACCTAGTATGGGTTAGCAAGATTTATTAACATGTAAGACAACTTTATAAAACCATCTTACAGCCTTGCTTCTAGATTTCTTGTTTTTTCTGATGTATAGACCATTGTTCAAGAACCAAATTCTACTGAAAAATCAATAGCTGGAACTGTTTCTACATTTTCAAATACAAGAGTGCCATTAGTAACTTAATTAATAATTAGACATGAAGGACATGCATGGTTGCACTGAAATGTTTTAAAAAAAGAAGAGTATGAATACTGAATAGAATAAGTAACAGCTTTGACATCAGCTTCAGGAATAACAAGGTATTCACAAAGCGAAGAAGAGAAACCATGTGATTTCTCTTGCCTATCCATAACTCTTTTCTCATGAACCCACCACTTCAATGAGAGAGACTTCAATTGCCAGAATTCTGGCAAAAGCAATTAAACATGCATTCAGTTTTGTACAATGGATTGACCTAACTTCTGAGTCACAGATATAAATGCATCAAATTTCTGTCATTATAGTTTAACAGCTTAATGACCTCTGAAGGCAGAAACATCAGTCTCTTTCTTTTCATGCATGTTTTTCTGTTTCTATTTAGGTATCTTTGTATGCTTCCCCTGGTACATCTCCCACTCACATTTACTGATTTCTCTCAGTCCTCTATTTGCAAGCTTCCCTCCCCCCCTTCAGGATTTATTTCTAGCAGCTGGGTTCTCTCCTACACAGATCATCCCTCTTTATACTGTTAAATAGCAAGCCAACCATGTAGACATAAATGAGATTACATTGAAAGAAAAAAAAGCCCTTTGCTATTAAATAAAAACCAACACACCTCCACTACAAACAAACTGGTTTTGATGCCTTTAATTTAATGGCATATACCTTTACAGACATACATAAACCAACACTAAAAGGCAGAGCTACTAGAGAAGAGTATTTTCATACTTAAAAGTATATTAATGCATAATTGCAAGATTCTAATCTGATCAAAAAATCTTTCACTATAATAGTGCTTACGCAATGATTCTTAAATATTTAAGAGTATTACACCATTCCAGACCCTTGTAGGAACAAAACATATAAATGTGCTCTTAAAAATATTTTCTTCATCAAGCACAACATTTCCACTGTCTGACCTTTTTTAAAAAGCTTGACTATATGTTAATCTATCTACAGAAAAGTACACGTTATCTAGTACTTCATATTCTTTAGACAGTAGCTAAGTATTTGAGGACAATATAGATAAGCACAGTTTAAAGAGTTTTCATCTGCTTCTCTCATTGTTATAGATAAAGAAAATGGCATCAAAGCATACCAAAGGTGCAAATGTTCTGAATTCTTTTACTTATTTTTGCACTGGAGAGATAGTTTAGGAAATGCTTTACTAACACCAGTCATTTCATATGTGTAAAGTTAAAGCTATTTCATTAACTCAGCATCTCATTTGGAGAAGGTGTGTTCACCTCTGTCGCTGTTCACAGGTCACTCAAACCCTGAGAACATGGACCTACTGTCACGTAACCTTGCTGTACATTTGCTGTACATACATCCAGGTCGCTTATTTTCCTTCTCTCTCTTTGTAAGTTTTTTTGACTGCTTTACAAGCCTGACTGCTTTTTATACTGCAGTTTCCCCATCACAAATTATCTACAAAGGACAAAATAAAATCTTGCTTTATTTATAGGAAGTTTCTTTTCAACATCAGATTTCAAATTCTTACCATGGTCTGTAAGTTCAGACATGCAGAGATGACTTGATGTCTCTTTTTCACTTGGCTTTTCCTGTCCTATGGACACATGCTTGCATGTAATGATTGGCTGAGAATGAATTAAACTTTCTGAAGTCTGCTCATCAGATTCCTTAGTCGAATGAAGCAGCACATATAGAGAAACAGGTACAGTTAGAGCTTTCAGCCGGATCACAATACAGTGGTTGCCCCAACCTACACAAATGCTGGAACTTGTATTAGGCAAACAAAAAAAAATTCCTAACTTTTTGTAAATGATCAGTAGTGACTCAGTCATAAGCAGAGACAGACTGAAGATATTTTTTTTCTCCAGACACAATGGGAAATAGAAACTAGACCGCAAGTAAAAGAAAAGGTAGAAGACAGAGCACTAACCAAAATCTCATTATTTCTATGATGCTTCCACTGACTGTTTCCAAACTGACACTGTCTTCTCCATGATAAGACATACTGCTAGAAGTGAATGGGCCTATCTCCTGTTATAGATAGCTTAAAAGCAAAGAACAGCTTACACTGGGAGTAATTTCAAGACTTCATTCTTACTAAAAAGCCAGTTGATGTTAATATTCTTCAATAATCAAATGAAAAAAGAAAAGCCCACAACCGAGCCAAATTAGTGTTTAAAGGATCACAATTCTAAACTTATCTTTAAAATTAATTCATTTTGAATTCAGATGTCATGCAGACTGTCAGTATGTACATTTCAGAGAGCAGATTTAGATTTACGGGTAACGTAATACAAGAAAATTGTGCAATTAATAAAGAGTTTGTTGAACCATATCTGAATAACTGAATGCACTTTCTTTCATCACAGATGCACAGGTTCAGCTAAGCAGTCCAGACTTTGATGCAGTTCCAAATTATTAGTCTTAGAACAAGACCATGCCCCTAGTGCTAAAGAAAGAACGTAGGAAACCGAAGTGTTGTATGCTGAATGTGCTTAAATGAGGTCTCGGAAACAACAGCTCATACTTACATGTAGGACATTGACATTCAGCTGCTGAAAATTACGGGACCTAAATTCTTGCATCCTTTTGCTATTTTCGTGATATTTTTCTTCTGCCAGCTGTCTGTAAATACAGAATGCTCATATTTAGGATGCAATATCAGGGATTGCACAAAGGGATCTTCTAGAAATAGACGTGGAAAAGCAAATTCCATAATCAAGACCCGCATGATGCCAAACGTTCACGGCATCTACTCAAGTGAGGTTAGTTCTGGTGAACTCCCCAAGAGATTTCAGGCCTTATTTCCAAACATCATTATATTTTTCTTTCACAACTTGCACAATGTAATTGAGAAACAGTAAATTATTAGTCCCAGTCTTTTCTTGTTTCTTCCAGAGACCTTCAAAACTTCAAACTTCATTCTACCATGTAGTCCAGAGACCTTTCAGTTGAAGACAGGCACACAACACTTTTGTGCTGTGAACGCTTCACTCTGGGGAGAGTTCATAACTGCATTTTTCTGTATGGGACTCATTAAGCCAGGTGCTGCATTAATCAGTTCTTCCAGTTTCCATGACTGTATTCCCATTTCCTTACCATTCATCTCTAGGTTTCCACTGCTGAAAGCAGAACTCCAGTCCAAGAAGGTATTGATTTTGCACCAGTACGTTCAACAAGAGTGAGCTGGCAATAACCCAGGAGCTGAGTATAGATGCATTTTAAAGATCCATGACTGAGAATAAGATTTGAATATTAATATGTCTCTTTTATGTTACAAAATAAATATATTCAATTTTGTTGCTGAGGAAAAAATGTGAAGATCTAAATAGAAAACACTAAGGAACATGAAAAGCAAACTAGAACTATCCTGCAATTAGCATTACCTCATAAACTCCATTTTAAAAAAGTGAAAGAGACAGACTTCCTATTTATAAATTTATATAAGTACAAAAGTTGGCCTATATTATTGAAAACATCATGCAGAACAGGTGTCAAATTTACACAGTGGTTTCCATTCAAAGACATTTTTTTAAATGTGAGAATAAATTTACATACCATCTCCAGTATCAAACACAATGATATGTGTAAAATACATGCTTATCAGACTTCTTTTCCAAAAGGAGTGAAGGCCTTTAGTTTTTTGTTTGTAGACATTGGGTATGGGCATCACAAGTTGGCACAAGTAATGCTTGGGTGTGATTTTACTGAGCACTTTCACTCAACTGCAGTTACTATTGATTTGTGCAGGTATGTATAGCTGCAGAGTTTCTGAGACCATAAATTCAGACTTCATGTTGCCTCGCAATATTTTTCTGGACGAGGACATCATTGCCTTACTGAATTGCTAACTTGCTTTGGAACAACAGGGTTAAGATGCCGATTCTCATGGTCAAAAATAATTATTCCCTCTATTACCCTCTGTAAAGAACTGAGTAAACTTCTGTTAATTTACATTGCACTTTGCAAGATGCTTTTGAAGACAATATTAAAAATCAATTAAAAATTAACGTGGTACTTTTCTGAGTTTCATTCATACCAGATAAAACATTGACTATATTTAACTGGGAAAAACTCAAGTGTGTCATCAAAACAGTATATTATTTTTATTAAAAAGAAAGGAATCCATGCATAGACAGTCATCCAGCTGTTTCTCATATTTCACTCAGAAACAGTACTTATTCTCCCCTTTTTATTATGTCTCACACACTTAATAAAAAAACATAAATCATAAAGCCTTTATTACATGTCCATTACCTCCATGTGATCATTTGATAAGACTGCCCTCTGAGCTATTAACTTCTATTGGCAAATCCGTTAGGCCAAAACAATTGACAAAACCTGGATTGTAACTACATTTCCAACTCCTTAGACTGTGCAATCTGTTTAATGACAAGTCATTTTAAAAAAAAATCTCCTATCATAACACATCTGAAAACCTCTCATATGCTTATTCAACCAGAAACACAGTGCTCAAAGTATCAGTTTTGGGCTAATGGGTTTTTTTTCCTACAAAAATAATTACCGTGGTTTAACCCATTCAAAATCCTCATTTACTTTGAGTACCTGAAAACTCTGTCTATTTTTATTTTTACCTTGACAGTTCTAACTCTCTTGTTAGACTGTTGGATGGGGAAAACTGCATGGTTAGGGCACAATACTAATGTTATGCTCAACTTACTTCAACTTCTTTGCTTTCTCATCTGCAGCATTTAACTTTCTCAGCCTCATTCGTTCCCGCGGTGTCATTTTCTGCACTGCAGACAGTTCCTGCAGAGTTTGTAAATGAACTTTCCTCTGCCTGAAATTGAATAAGTTCAAGCCTATCGTCATATAAAAATGTAAATATTAGAATTTTGGTTTGATATTGAAACATAGTGACATTTCAAACGGAATCATTAGAAAGTAACAGGTACTATAACAGATTAAATAGACTTTAGTTTGGAAAGCAAATGCCTCTTTTAAATTGAAATACTTAAGCTTAGACTTAGATTCATAAAGAATGTAAATAATTTCAGCCATTTCAGGTGAGAAGGGAAAAGGTAAACTCGGCTTCTTAAAAGAATAAACGTTGAAGCACAGTGAGATATTTACCCTGTCAGGCTTCATTATTGAGCATATTCCAAGTACAAAGGCAGTCTTTAAATGAGAACCACAGAAAAGGTTCACAAGGTCATGTAGCGATAGGATGAGGGGTAATGGTTTTAAACTAGAAAAGGGTAGATTTAGGTTGGATATTAGGAAAAGGTTCTTCAATATGAGGGTGGTAGATCACTGGAACAGGTTGTCCAGAGAGGTGGTGGAGGCTCCATCCCTGGAGGGCTTGATGGGGCTCTGAGCTACTTGATCTAGTAACATTGTCCCTGATTACTGGAAGGGGGTTGGACTGGATGATCTTTAAAGATCACTTCCAACTCAATACATTCTATGAAAAGAGCAATCATCTATACATTTTTACACTGATTGTTACAAGCTGTCTAGAATAAAAGAGAATATTAATGTGTCATTAATAACAGATATAATTATGAAGTTGTCCTTTTGAATTTCTAGTCCTAATCAATAATAATAATTCACCAGTGAAACGGTCTCCATAGACCCCCTCTGAAAGCTGAGTATGAATTATTGACATATGTATCTCTGCTGTATTTATCAACACAGGAGAGCAATATTAGTCCTATATTAGAAAAAGGATATTAATCTCGGATTTTTGTCTACAGTAATTACAAAAATTGAACCATGGTTTACAATGCATTGGCAGTCACATTTCACTTACACCAACTTTTTCTATTGTTTCTATTTACAATATCAAGTATTCTTTTCAAATTACTATTTTCGCCCCTGTGAGATAAATTTGTCTCTGATCATCTAAGAGGCCAGTTTTGTAACTATACGAATTGTAACACTCCTGGACTATCATTTTGAAATCAGGATTTTAATAAATAGAAGAGAAGTTTTCATTATGCTTTTCAAATGTTGACTTTAGAGGGAAATAGTGTAAAAATATAAATACTAGTGTGAAATATGAAAGATGAAGGACAAAGGCAATAAGAGTTCAATTATTCATAAGAATGGAACTAACTCTTCAAGTATGAATAAGGTAGACGTATTTCATGTCCCCTGTAAAAATACTCCAATTCAAATTATAAGAACCTCTTGGGGGGGGGAAGTAATTTCTTCATCCAAGTCTAAACTGAACTTGTACAGCTTTATGTTTACTTAAACATTTAAAATTTATTACTTGCATGGTACTGGAAAAAGGAAGTGATTAGAGGCCTTTACTGGGAGAAAGTAGACTCAACTATACATGGCAAAAGTAATTCCTAGTGAGAAAAAAAGACGTAAACATAAAGTAGCAATGACCGGGGAGGACACCATAACAAGCAGCTCCTTGTACACTGACTCAGACTAGAGTATTGCTACATTACAGCAATGTATGTGGGAAATTCACTATGTTTAAATTATTTCTCCTCCACTTTTCTGCTCTCTACCATTTTTCAGGTATTTTTATTTCATTTTAACTACCTCTTCAGATCAGGCATTGCAGAAATTATTTGGCATTTTGCTTACGAGTAGCAATACAGACAGCTAACATTCTCATAAATACAATGAAAGTCACAATAAGATTATGACCTTACACATACTCCAAACATTTAGCCAAAAAGAATGAGACTGCAGCACATTTGAAGATAATTTATAGTGAACTTTCTCCTAGGATTTTTTTCTCAAATTGAGGTCCTGAATTTGAAAACCTGAAGGTAAATTGACATGCTAATCAAAACCCGTTCCTATCCATTGCTCCACAGTTTTTAAGATCTCTAAAACTCTGCACAGGACCAGCTTTCTACTTTCTTCTAACAAAATTATAAGAACATTATGTTTGTAGTTAGAACTTGTCCTTTGCCTTAGAGTCTATAGACTTACTTTTGAACTAGAATAGTTATAGACTCTGAGATACACATTCATGTTCTCCCCATATGCTAGCTCTGTTAATATCTGATGTCTACTTGGAAGGTGATGAGGCTCAATATATTCGAACTAATGACAATGGATCAGGTATGGAATATAGTATATGTTACAAATAATAGAAAGTGGTGTTAACAGTCCATTCGAGAAGCATGGAGATATTTGAAGTCTGGGTATATCTTTTGACAGTAAAAACAGTGCTTCCTCGAAACATCTACAATCTTTTGGTGCATACAGATAATTTGAAATCTTATACCCACAAATTAAAGGCACAGATAAAAACTTTCTTGAAGATTCTCATACTTTATGTTTCAATAAGCATTAAATACTCAATATATAATTGCATAATATTTGGCCAAGATTTCAGTGCCCCAAAACCATTTAAGGTATATCTCTAAGAAACATCTCTGTAGTTAACTATATTTTATTTGAAGAGGCAGGAATCCACTCAGAGTTAACTGAATCAACCTGAATACAGCATCCACAGGCAAAAGATATCTCTAATATTTCCCAGCTATTGCCTATCTACCTGACACTTGTATTTCCAGTATACCAGCAAAGGGTTATTTCTAGCAGAAGCACTCATGCAGAATAGTAAGACCGAAAACTTGACTGCTGTATCAGCCAGCTCCATTTGCTGTTATTTATTAGACAGTTGTTACTAGCCAATGTAGGTATCATTTGTTGCTGTATTTCACATCTGTGATTGCAAAGTTCAACAACCTATTTATACTGAAGGTACTATTTATACCAAAACAGAGAACTTTGGTCTGATAAAAGGACAGAGACCCACCTGTCAACAAGAGAGCAAGAACAGAAGTGACAGCCTAGAAACCCAAACCACAATTTCTAGAGATGAGAGCTTTACTGATACACTTTCAGTAATTAAGCTGGGTATAAAAGGTGGTGTTCTGTTGAATAAAAGATTTTGTTCTGTTGAATTCCACTGTCTTTGCTTTGCTTTCTTCCTACCACTGATTCTAAATAACACTTTCTGTGGAAAATTGAAGCTGGTCACCTCTCCTGAAGAGATGCCTGCAAGCAATAGAATTGGGAGCACCTGCAAAGTGATCACAGCTGCAAAAACATGGGTCATCTCCAACAGCAGAGGTCACGAAAAATGAAGGTGAAAGGCTTACTGCCTCAAAGGTACTGCTAACTCTGGATCAGAACATGGGCTTCATTATTGCTGTTACCTAATAATTCAAAAGAAATTTCAGATAGCTTTTAAAGTGACAGTTATTTAGAGGACACAAGAAACAGGGATGTCCTTTGCGTCCATACAGGATCACAAAATACTGATTTTGAGCGTGCTAGCTCCTAACAGAGCAAAACCACGTACAGAAAACTCAAGGACAGGAAGTAAAGGGGAGAGCCAGCTGCCATCAAAGCTGCAGACCTAATTTACAAAGGCAATTGCCCATGCTGACATTTGCTTTAACCATTGCAGCATTGTAATTTAATGCAAATCTTTTAATATATATTCAGTGCCTAAAAGAGAGATCATGTGCAAAGGCACTACTGAAATAAAAGCCAAGAAACATCTCTAGCCTAAATTTCTCACTATAATTACCAGACAAACGTAATAGTGTTCTATGTACATATTAGCTGAATATTAGTTTGAGTGTATGCACTTTTAATTTGGTGTCATTTAGGAAACATAACTTTCACATTCAGTAATCAAGTACTCAAACAGCAGCATTGTAAGTGATCATGACATAAGTAAAATGACAATCTAAACCTTCAAAATTTAAAGACAAAGGTCATAATTTACATACTATTTGGTACTAAATTAACATATGCATATATTACACATGCATGCACAATTTATACAGTTATATAAAAAAAATATCTGATCTGCAAATCCTTTCTTTCCCCCTGAATCTTAGTTATGTGTCTCACTAATGCAGTTGCTTTTCTGTGTTTCTGGGGAATGGGCCCCTCTAAATATAACACACTAAGAGATTAATGCAAGTGTTTACAACATGATATTATTTGACAACACTGTAATTTCATATACTGCTGCCCATAAAACACTTAAAAATACTTACACAGCATCAAAAATGGGAGTAGCTTTTTTCTGCCTGTTAAGTGCCTTGTCTTTCACAGTCATGTTTGTGAACTTGTGTTGTATATTCTGCAAGGAAACAAAATAGAAGTGGTATCAACACTTGAAGCTAAAGTGATCCAGACTCTTCAACTATGACCCAATACAGTCCAATAAAAACCAACTGAGCAGTTTCCTTCCCCATCGGCTTAGAAAGCCAAATAATACATACACTGAAGCAGGGACCAAAGGAGCAAGGTGCACTGCTTCTCATTAAACTAGAACAGTTTAGAGGTTATATGTACCCAGGCCCCAGTTATCTCCAGTTGTTACACATAAATGCACATTCTCCTTATTTCTCATAACATTTAAAAGGGGCTAAGTTCAACATGTAAAGTGACAAGGGCTTCATTTCTCACTGGCTCACTATCTCAGCCATATTTTTTATTTAGTATCCTGATTAATGCTCCCATATACCGCTATCTAATTATTTTTTCTCAATACATTTTCTCCATCTCCACTCATCTTTTGCAAAATACATACTGAAACAGTAAGTGTACAGCAATCACTTTTTCTTATGTACCTTCAGTTGTTCATCAATATAAGGGATTTTTAGGATCTCTGCTGCTGCTGGCCTCAATGAAGGATCTTTATTCAACATGCTGAAACATTAACAAATGAAAGCCATACTTAAGCGATTTTCCAAATCAATTTAAATATCTGCTAAACAAGAAAATAATATACCTGCACATCACAGCATTCAGTTTGCTTGGATATCTGTCAGGAAGACAAGGTGTATCACCTTCTACAATTTTTAACACAACAGACAAAAAATTGTGTCCAGTAAATGCGTGGTTCATACAGCACATCTCATATAAAATGCATCCCAGAGACCTTGAAGAATAAAATGATAGGAATAGTATAAACAATATTTTTGAAAGTAGCATGCATAGTGACATTACAGTGAGTAAAATCACAACTGTATGCCCTTTTCTCCTGGGAATAGGGTATTTCATTATCATCCTATCCTGTTCATCTGAAGTATTCTTATTCGGATGACAAATTAATAACTTTATAAACAGAAGAAATCATCATTCTATTTCTGTAAGTGCAGGCACATACTTAAATTCCAGAAGAATTTAAAAATTTAAATTAAACAGCCATCTACATGATCAGACTCATCTAAGTAATGAACTTAAATATCAGAAGAACTTAACTCTTAATGTAGTATTTGATTGTGGTATTTATAATTTACAGAAGCAGTATAAAAATATAGATGAATGGCTCTGATGAAGAGAGTATAAACATTATCTCGGAAAGCAAATAATGAATAAAGTTTCAATTATTCATTTTGGTTAAAGAAGATGAATTGATTCAGTCTAGGAATGAAAGAACAAGAGTAAATTTTAAAGCTGAAACCCAGACTCTACATACAGTGTGAATAAGAGAGAATGTAGAGGGCCTCCCTCACTGGTACTTTTCAAGCAGTATGTGAAAACAATTAGCAGAACATTTTTGCTAACAAATCCATAAAGATCAACTACAGAGGTTCCTAAATAAATGCCTAGGTTTTTAGAGGTTTAACTGTCAACCAGCATTCAAACTTCCAAAATCAATAAACAGTAACACACAGATGATGATCTAGATTTATGATGTACGTTCAAACTCTGAAACAAGATAATTACTACATGAGAAAATACTTAAAACCAGAAAAAACTCTTAGCACATGGCATCTGAAAGCATCAAACAAAAATAGAAAGCAGCCAAAGGGAAGAAAAAAGGAAGGAAAATCCCAACCTGATAGACTGTACTATAACTGCTTTTTGCAGAATCAATCTGTTTTGGAGGCTGCTTGATTCTGGGAGCTAGAAATTGCTTAATGAGCCATTAGGAGCACAGGATTTACCACATCAGGGAAGCCCATTTATTCATCTAGTTTAGTACTCTGACTACACCTGAGGCTTTGGAGAAAGATGAAAAGAACACCCAGGGCATTTTGCTGCAGCCAGGGCTATGAACAGGCTACCCAGGGAAAACCCCATCTGTCCCATGAAATATAAACGGGGGGAGGGAGAGAGGGGGGAAAAAAAAAAGGGGGGAAATGAGGGAAAAATAATATAGTTTTTACTGCAGGATACAATTCTTTGATATGAAAGAAATACCTCCTAAGATGGAGCTAGGTCCCAGAGGAAGGCTATTTCTTCCCAGGACAGCTCCTGAGCTGCAATTGCCTGAGGGAGTCACCATCAGGCATTTGCCTCAAGTCTGCATTTCTCAGTTGTGTTTCTACAATCCTTGTCTAAGCGACTTGTAAGGAGTATATTCAGCAAGAGAAAATTGCTTACTGATTCCCATAAGCAATCTGCACATGACTTAAACATATAATTTAATTACTTTTATAATCTCAGGTTGTATTACTGCTGGTGTTATAAAACTCTAAAATGGTCATTAAGCTCCCCAGCCAGAGCATTTGGTTTGATGGCTCCCTGTGTTCATGAACAGGTTTGACAAAGGTCTTGGACAGCACCTTATATCAGCAAAACTCATGTATGACCATTTCACATCAAAGCCACTTATGCTCAATCACATCACTAAATGTAGCATCTGAACAGGCTTTATGATACCAACTGACAGATCTCATAACTTCCCCTTCTCAGGAGAAACCACCCTGAGGTTTTTAGTGTACTTTTTACATAAGCATTGCTGTCCTTTTTGAGTCTTCTGATCTTTTTTGTGTGTTATAGTCCTTCAAAGGCTGTAAGATCCAAGTTAGCTTTTAAATTAAGCTCCAAAAGCCAGATAATCTAAATCCCTTTGTGGCTTATATCGCTCAGCCTGATTGTACCAGAAGGTCTTAAGAATTTGCTGACTCCAGGGTCTATGAGGAATACATACATGCACAGACATACTACCATGACTCTCTCAGCCACTGCTCTTCAGGTCTTCACTGCTTTTGCTGCTATTTTCGCAACTATTCAACATAAAATTTGTCAGTAAAAAAAAATCCATTTTTGGATTGGTATTATTAAAGAAAAAGACAAACTGGGGAAAAAGCACAGACAAGCAAGAACAATTAAAATGAAAGTCCCAAGATCCATGGTGCAGGAAGCTCAATTTACCCAAACCATACAGACAAACCATCTGTCACAATCTGTCAGTACTTGGCAGAAGACATAGGCTACAATGGATATAAATTTGACTGTAACATTGCTTTGTCTCTGGAAGACAAAGAGGAAGGTATTTATACCTCTCTTGTAAAGAATTTGCTAAGTGAAAAAAGCATTTGTTTTTCAACTAAATTATTTCTGTTATCATTTCTGTGTTTGAGATAATTTAAAACATACACTATGCACAGATCCTTTGAAAAGTTCCTGGATGGAGTTATATACTTATAACTTTGAAAAGGGCAGAGAAATATTATTGCTGATAACTGTTTGCATACACGTTATCTCATCCACTCAGAAACAAAGTATATCATTAGAAGAGCCACTGCATGGACAGGTACTCAATATTTAGACTCCAGGACCTATACTGATTCTTGGCAGACTTTCAGGCAGTATAGAATTCAGAGTCTCACCTGAGAAACACCAAGCACTCTCAGTTAGAAAACCTGCAAAAAACTGCAGGTGCAATACAGGATAACTGCTAGTGCAGACAAATCTTGGCAGAGTTACACAGGAGCTGAAGAGGGATTGTTTCAGCTGGGATAGGCAAGAGTGATGCTCAGTTCCCCATATGGGAAAAGCAGGACCTAAACTCATTATAAGCCTTTGTGCCAAGGGAATCCCAGTTTTCTGGAACAAAAGAGATCTCTGAGGAAGATACAACAGTAGCCTTTAGCTTTAGGACTAATTGCTGGATTTATTTACCTATTTGGTAAGTCTGGGTCAACCTTTCTAGGTTGAATGAAGATAATGCAAAGTACAAATGTATCTCTGCTATTCAGAAAACCTCAGATAAAAAGTTAGCCCCCACCTAATGCATTAGTGAGTAGTCACAACTGCCCTGAAGGCACTTAGTATCTGCTTTTAGTTTGCTCTTTCCTGGAAAGAAATGTTTTTATTTTGTTCGAATAGTTCTGGAAGTTAGAGGATGCCAATTCTTCTCAGCCCAGTGCCACAAAGTCCAAGTCTGTTTGGACTGAAGTGATGATTTCTAGTCACTGCACAGACTGAAATAAAAGCTGATTAAAATTGTTACCTTGTTGGTAGACTTTCATGTAGTCCCCCTGAGTCTATGATTGCTTTGTTAATAACATTGCTGCATTGCTGGCTCACCATCTGCAGTTGTTGGTGCTGGGAGACCTGTTCTGCCACGATCCTTCAACAGTCTTAGTTGGATGACATTGATGTAATCTGGGTAGATTCTGATGCACTATTTCCAAGCAATATTATTTTTTAAAAATGCCATCCAAATAACAAAATAAAACCCACACACGCCTTGTAAAACAAAAAAGAACTAGTAACAAACAAAAGAACTAGGAAGCTAAATCAGTCTAAGGCCAACAGATCTAATATATACACCTAGCACATATAACACAGGGGATGAGTCATACTTGTTGTGTCCCTGTAAGTACAGAGACAGTCAGGCATTTTGCAGGAAAATAATGTATTACTGGAACATTGACTTAGGTTATACAAGAAGTTTGGAGGCTTTGTCAGCCACAGAGGTTTGATGAACCTGTTGCCTGGAAGGATTTGAAAATAACCTGGCTGCTCCTCCTGGACATCAGAGGTTCAGATTAAAGTCTCTGCTCTGTCTGATTCAGACCAGAAACGCTAACTTTGGGCCCTCACACCACCAGGGACCATCTTAGACACCAGGCTCCTTTTCACACGGCTCACTCTGCTTTCTGTTTTCTATAAATTATAAAGAACTCATTGTCTCAGAGAAGCAGATTGCAACCATGTCCCACCATATGACTTCACCTTTCCGGACCATAAGAAGTGACTTTAAATGACACATAACAGCCTTCAGTTTGTTTGACACATGAATGCAGTGTCATAGCACCAGTGGTGTGGAAACGTCAGTCGACCCCCAACACCAGCACTGGTCTCCCCACACAGTATGTAAGGCCAGGAAGGATCACCAGAACCACAGCACAGCCGTGCCTCTGGGTCACGCTGTGCTCATGTAAAAGTGAGCCCCTACTGCCACATGTACACACACACCACTGGCTGATCCCCAGCCTGGCCTGGCTTCTTGAACCAGGCAGTGTCTCAGCTCGGCTACTGGTGCTGCACTGACTCTTCTCCATCTGCTGGCTCTTTGGGGGAAGCACCAAAGGGCAGAAGGGTTGGTGAATGGCTGAAGTGAGACCACCTCCCCAAGGAAGCTCATTGATTGGAAAGGAGGAAACTCCAGACCATGTCATCAGCAAAGGCCTAATTGCAGAACTTCTGTGTGTAAAAGCTGTAAAATGTGAAGCTTTTTTCCATCTCTTGACCTTCTGTTATAAAGGACAATACTTCTTGCACCAGCCACTGTACCGTGAATATTCAAGTCAGTTTTGAAGAGCAAGTTGCAGAACATTTCAGTGAATCTGAGAAGCACAGTGTCTCTTTAGAGCATATCATTAATGCAGCATAAATTAAGGTCTTTCCCATGAACAATGATTAACTGAACTGAACAGTGAGAGGACCAGGATAACTTACTGAGACAGGAGTAACTGCCTTTTGTAGAAGATGTTTTACATTTTCTTACACTTAGTATGGGAACACTTCTAATTCTGAATTGTGTGTAATATTTTGAGTCCTACTAGATATCAGAAGGACAAGCCTGAAGCAAGAACATCACTTCAGGTACACATAAAAGACTAGGGCAACTTCTTCATGAACAACTGAACTTCCTGCAGAGTGGTACAAGGATTTCATCTCATCTGGAGCCTCCAGGGTGGGCTCCCTTGGGTGCTCAAGGACCTCTTGCCTTTTAGCCCATGTTAAATGGGGCTAAAGCAAAAAAAAATCAAACAGAATCATTATTAAAAGATTAAATTAAGAGATGAAATGATGAAAGTATTAATAATACGTATGAGTCATGGTCATTGACAAGTCCTGAACAAAAGAGAGTTTCCTGGCTCAGAAAGAGAAGGGTTTTGTGGGCTGGGGGTCCAGTGACTCAGGGCACACCTCCTCCTTAGTGCTTATACTGTGAGGGCCAAGAAGCTCCTGTTGAAGGCAGTTCCATCCTCAGATAAGTGCTCCTGGTACCACTTTGGAAAGATTACAAAATTCATTAAGTATAGCACAAAACTAATAGCTAGTGAGTTGCGGGAGGAGGCTTTTTTCTACTATTCTGTGAATTTTAAAAGGGTGATCAACACATCATCTATGAAAATATTGGACCAAACTCTGCTTTAATTTACTCTGTACAACTTCAATTATTTATATGGATTGACACTTGTAACCACAAATAGAATTTGAACACATTTTACATTCCATTTCAACTGCAATACAAGAAATTACTCTTTACAGTAAAAAAGCACAAAAGGCAGGTTTCCCTGTCTCCTCACTTGTTTTGACATCTTTTGAAATCTTCTTGCAATATATTTTTGTTGACTACATGTATTAACTGATATTTGCTTTGATATAGATGAACAAGAGAGAATCTGACATCAAATCAATCTCAGTTCAGCTACACAGGCCGTGAGATGAGATTCCTGACACATCCGTTGACTGGATTGAACGTGCTAACTGTGAAAAATGGTTGCTACCACTTGAAAGTACAGAGTACTATTCTCAACTTTTAGACTTATATCCTGAAGTCACAAGTATATTTTGAAAAGGCAGAACTGAGCAGAAGATAGAGTAAGTTTTCAAGTAAACAAACTACATTGCTGTTGCCAAATGTTTTATGGAGGAAATTTACTGATTTGAAATATTCATCAAAAAGCAACCTATGCATACCTAAAGAAAAACACAACTTTTTAAAAGAAACAAAGCCCATTTTATATGAAAATTCTATGAAAGAATTAAAAATAACAATAGTTTTAACTGTAATCTTAAAACACGAGATGTTACAGGACACATACAAACAAGCCAGATATTTTCCCCATTCCAAAAAAATTATTCTTCATCTTAGCTTGCAAGAATACCCACACACCTAAACATTTCCTAAAGTCTTTCAACAGCTCTCAGCTTCTCAACTTGATTCTCTAATCACCACCTCAGAAGTCTTTGATCTCAAGAGTTTGTGCCACCTAAGTGAAGAAGTGACACTTCTTTATTACCTTTGAACCTTTTCTAAACAGAGTGCCTTTTTGCTTCTGTCCTAACACTTCAGTTATTCTCATTTTCAGCTCTCCTTCCAAGTACCTTCTTCTTTTTTGCCAATGTTTTTCAATTCAGTTCCTAAGAAGATCCTTCTACTTCCCTCTCAGTCAGGAATCACTCTT